CTTAATAACTGCAGTGATTCATGTAACAACTGTGGCCGTAAATCGAGGACTATCTGTACTGCAAGGAACTTTGAATTTCCTCCATGTCCCATGCTGCTTTTACAGGCTGTTAAATCCAACCCCTGTTTAGTGCAGGACGTTATATACTAGTTCTCAACCCACCACAGGGTCCCTTCTCAATGAAGATTGGGCACTGTTGCAACTGTGATTCTTGCAAAACACAGTTCAGACAACGGTTAGCACCAATTATCAAATTGGCTGAGATAACAGAATGTGTGTGTGTGTGTGTGTGTGTGTGTGTATGCGTGTATGCATGGAAATAAACTGAATTTCAATTCAGGTTGACAAGAGGTGATCTCTTCCTGATAGATTGGGAATGCTGGCAACTGTAATTGTAAGAAGGATATATATTCAACATTAGCCAAATCCTTTTTTGCAATTTTACCTTACCAATACAGCAGGTTTCCACTTTATAGCACATAGATAACTTTTAAATTATAAACATAGGGGTCCTGTGATACCTTTTCCCACATATTACCGAATGAAATAATTGCCCTGTATCCAATTCCTTCATTACCAAATTCAGGAAGCCGTGTAATAAAACTTTTCAGGAGCAGAAAAATGTCAATGGAGCTTTGTTAAAGAAAACAGAAGAAAAAATGTAAAAAAAAAAAAAATCTGGATAGGGGTTTCTGCTAACCACAAAACCTGTTTATGTCAATATTTTCAAAAGGACAGAATTAATAAACAGGGTGCTCCTTTTGTACCAAGACTGTGCATGGATTTTAATTTCACCTTTTACTTCATCCCCAGCTTGGTTCTCCCTCCTCGGCTTCTACTTGGGCAAATCTGTTTGTTTGGATTTAAATACCGTAGTTGCCCATCTCATATACAAGACACTGGGTGGCTTACAATAAACAATAGCATTCCTGACCTACTGGCAAAGGAGGAGAGATGGATTATCGGAGATATAGAGCTGTGTTTATCTGGCATGCCCAGCTGTCCAGCTTCTGCTGATTACTTTGCATAGCCAGATTATCTCCCTTGTCTTTTCTCTTTTGCTGCTAGCAGCAAGAGTTACTTGGGGTCACTGAAGCAGGCCTTCTGCACTACAACGTCATGTTCATCAGTAATTCAGACTGATAAGTCATAAGTACCTTTCTTAAGTATCCAGTGCCTTTCAGAAGAGTTATGTGTAAATGCACACATTTCTTTCTTGCAAAAAATAGTGTGAAATGTTTTCGGCTAAGCTGAGATATTCAACAGAAGAAAAAAATATACAGATATTTGCCACTATTGCAAAAGAAGAAAATACATGTGGCTCCGTGCTGAACTGTGGAGTCCTTAGTGCTAGCGGCGAAATTGAATTGAAAGGACCTTGGAGGTCTTCTAGTCTAACCCTTTGCTCAGATAGGAAACCCCATACCATTTCAAACAAATGGTTGTTCAATCTCTTCTTAAAAACTTCCAGTGTTGGAGCATTCACAACTTCTGGAGGCAGGTTGTTCCACTGATTAATTGTTCTAACTGTCAGGAAATTTCTCCTGACAGTTAGAACAATTAATCAGTGGAACAACCTGCCTCCAGAAGTTGTGAATGCTCCAACACTGAAAACTTTTAAGAAGAGACTGGACAGCCATTTGTCTGAAATGGTATAGGATTTCCTGCCTGAGCAGGGGGTTGGACTAGAAGACCTCCAAGGTCCCTTCCAACTCTATTATTCTGTTAGGTGGGTAAAAAAAGTCAAGATCGCAGCAACGAAGATGCAATAGAAGCTTTATTTTTAATGTATGTCAGAAGTGCAATACATGTAAAAATGATGCTATTTGCTTTCTGACTTATTTAATTCAGTGTAGGTATCGCCCAATTCTAGAATGACTTTTTTTAATCGTACCCTTTTTTCACCCATGTCAAGAAGATGCAGAAATCTAAACAGGATCTATATCTACTGACGTGGAATGTGGAGATTGAGACCATGATCAAAATTAGAGCCACGCACAACTTCAGTTTGAAGATTCCATTATAAAGTAATTTGATCAAACTACTCTCTTTGAGCCAAACTGCCAAAGGAAGATGATCCATCAAACAGAATCAAATCTATTTGAAGATTTAGTGGACTCCACATGTACAAAAAGACATTTTTGTCCAATAAAATCTTTGCAATGAAACTAATCAATTTAATTTGAATTGCAAAATCACAAATTCAATCTGTATCTTGAGAGATTTATAACCCCTAATTAATTTATGCATGTAAATGTATGACTAAGAATCTAATTTTTTCTTACAGTCAAAGTGAAAAAGCACAGCCAGGTCTCAATAGGTAATAAAAAGATATGGCTTTTATTGATTAACTGGCAGCCACCAAGCAAAGGGTGGATGTGGATTGGGACCACATTAATTGATTAATTATCCTGCCTTTGTTAATTTTATAAATAAGTCAAGACAGCAAACATATTACTTCTTCCTCCTCCTATATTTCCCCAGCATAACAACCCTATGAAGTGAGTTGGGCTGAAAGAGAATGGCCAGCTTACGGTCACCCAGCCGGCTTTTATGTCTAAGGCAGGACTAGAATTCACAATCTCCTAGTTTCTGCCTTAACCACTAGACCAAAATTTGGATCCTCCTTTTGCCTTGTTTATCAGTGCTCAGCAATCTATGACAATTGTTTGCAATACCAATACGAAAAAGTTTATACTCCCACAAGATATTCAAACTCTTGTAGATACACTCATATTGTCCCAGACTGAACAAGAAGCATTTCATTGCTCCAGATGATAAAGAGCAAGTGAAGTACAATGGCTTCTTACAGCATGCACATAGGGAGAGTAGAAGAAAGAGACACTCACCACTTCTTTGATTTCAACCTGGGGGCTGGGTTTCGGGGAATGAGGAACAAGGCTCTCATGGGATGCATATCACAAAGGGCTGAGAAACCAAAAAAAAGAAGGCATTAAACAAACTGTCAAGTGTAATGGAAAAAAGAGAACATCCTAGTAAAGATATTGAATCCTAGGGTAAAATTCGCATGCGATGAAGGAAGATAAATTTAGTGACTAGGTTCATAGAGCCCACTTGATCATAACATAAGTGAGGTTATCTCTGAGGCTCTGGTACATAGTCTGATTATGCATCAACTATGTTCTGAGGCCTTAATCATAGCTTTTTTGGGCTTTGATCAGATTGCCTCTGTATGGACTCTCTCTGCTTGTGGATTCCAGGAGTCCTCCTATTTTTCAAAAGATCTCTGAATGAAAAAACAGCAGAAGGATGTCTGGAAGGCCACAGGAAAAAGATGAAGAATGTTTCTGTGTGTCCTTCCTGAGGACTAACTTGTGACAGTAAAAGTGGTAAAATATAATTATTTCACTGCTCTTATTGCATCCACTGCAAGCCAGCTAATGCCTTCCTCAGGACAATCTGGTCAACCCTGAATAAGGAGAAGCTTGAAAAGTTGGAGAAGTCATTCAGACTTCTTGGAAGTTGGAATCTGCCTATGCAATTCCAATGGTGCTGACTGAGAACACAGTCTTAACTGGTTACCTTGGATGAGTTTGAACATGCTAGTTCTATGGAAGTGGACAAGGTCCTTCTGGTGATCAGTGTGACCATTTTGTACTTTAGATTCATGTTTTTCCTAATTGTTTAAGACCTCAGGGGAGGATTTGCATGGTTGGATTCACATTGTGGTAAATACATCTTCAAGGGAGTAGGTAGTTCCACCAGCTCTTAAGGATATGGTGGTCTTCCTCTTCCTCTTCAAGACGTTATTGCAGGATCCAACAAAGCTGGACAGTTTTCATCCTGTCTCCAACTTTCCCCTTTTAGGGAAGGTTGTTGACAAAGTGGTCATCTGCTTGAAAAGGCCAAAGGAAATGGATTATTTGGAGTCCTTTTAACCTGAGTTCTAGCCAAAATGACATTGGTTGCACTTGTCAATGAGCTATGACAGTCTCATGCTGGGAGGAGTACACATTTAGGGCTTTTTTTTGTCACAGAACGCCCAGAACAGAGTTCTGGCACCTTTTTTGGATGGAACCTTGTAGGGTAGGCAAGGCAGGTTGTATGACGTGTGTGAGTTCCGGGACCTTTTTTTTTTTTTTTTTTTTTTTTTTACAAAAAAAGCACTGAGTACATCTATCTCTCCTCCCCTTCCCCGAAATTCAATTGGCCCTGAATCTATTACCTTTTAGGGAAGATGTTAAAAACTTGGCTTTTGTCCTGGACTTTGGGTAGAATAGAAGAGTCCATTTTTGAGAAATGTATATTGATAAGCCTTATTGTGATAGGAATTGTCAATTTTTGGCATTTTTGTTGACATTGCTGGCTTTAATTTCAGGTTTTTTTTAGCTTTATTAATGTAGACCACCAAGAATCAAGATCATAACAGTTGGGCAGTCATATAAATAAACAAAATGCTTTGCTTGTTTATTGCTTAGCACATTGTATACATCTCGCATCTGAGGTTTGTGACCCACAGAGGCTCAGTGTGTTGTGTGTGTATATTGTGGTTTATTCAAGAAAAAATGGTTTAATTATAGCTCAATATGATATGGGAACCCAGTCATCAATTTGTGTCTTAATACTTTCTAAGGTAAGATCATTCTTCCCATAGTTTGTTGCCATTAATGTCGGCTGTTGCAAGTTTTTCTATGTAGTTAAAGAGAAACCCTTGCTTAGAATCATGAAGTTGAAAAGGGTTATTTAGGTCACTGAATCCAATTCCCTGCTCGGTACAGGAATTTAAGCATCCCCAACAGATGGCTGCCAAGTTTATGATTCCAGTAATTCCCTAGGTAACCACTTTCAAACTGCTCTGCTAGAAGCTTTTTATTAACATTCAGCTGGAATCTGCCTTCCTCTAACTTAAATCCATTATTCTGTATGCTACCCACCAAGACAACAGAAAACCATGACCTTCTTCAATGTTGACACTCCACTAGATACTTGAAGAGGACTTGTCCTCTCTCTCATTCCCTTCAGTCTTCTGTTCTCAAAATTAAACAGGAGTTGAATTTTAATTTTTGATACTGAAATGTTTTAACTGATGCAACATTTATATCTTCTACTTTTAATGTTGTTTTATTATTAAATTCTTGTTATGCAAAGTTAACATTGGTTTAAATATCCAGCCATCCAACAATTTCATGTCAAAGATACAATTCGAATGAAGAATTTATCAGTAACTCTTTTAGTTGCTTTGTTATATCAGCTATATGGATATATACAAGAAATGGAACTAATAATTAAAGGAAAGTTTAATATGTCGGAAAGGAGAAGGAGAAGAAATTGAGCTCATCTCCTAGTGCATATTTTAATATCTCATTATGGTCTACTTGGTATAAGACTATCAATAAATCTAGCCAAAAACTCAATGTACTGTATTATGGTTTGTCGCACAGTCAACCAGATGTTCAGACTGGAGTTGGCATTTTTATCCACTTATTGAGTCCTTCCCAAGGATCTGGGATGTGGATGTTTGGTGGTATTAGAAGTATTGCAGGATTAAGCTTTTTCTAAGTAAAGCTGTCTTTTGCAATTGACAGATGGTGAATTTGTCAATGCCGATGGTATTCAAGTGGTGCTCCAGTTGTTTGGGATTTCACCCAAGGCGGCTATTACCACTGGTACTACCTTTGCTTACTTTTGCTACACTAACCCTATTTATACTTGCAGGTCTATGTGTTTTGTTATCTTTCTCTTCTATTCTTCTGTCTCCAGGTACTGCCACGTCCACAATCCAGACTTTTTTTTTTGTCTTTCTTATCAACAGTTGTTAAGTCTGGGGTGTTATATGGCAGGTGCCTTATGTTGTTATTATTATTATCAAATTTATTTGCCATCTATCTAACCATTTGAGAAAACTCTGAGAGGTGTCATATCATGACAATCTGGTCTATATGTGTGCTTTGAGTCTACATAAAGCCAAACGTTAGTTTCTGAACTCATCACTTTATTCAACAAATCTTTACTTAGGGAATATTTGCATACAGCATATCATACTGAACTGGAATTTCTACTGCTGCATAATGAATTTTAACAAGCAGCAATCCAAAGTATGATAAAGCACAAAAATCAAATATACTCACGGGGAGCTCCTTCTGCCATTTCGATGGCTGTTATCCCTAAAGACCACAAATCACTCTGAAAGAAACAACCAAAAGTAACAAAACTTTCAGTGATGTACCACATATGAGAGTTACTACTATATAGGAAGGACTTCTTGGCACCTTATATCTGTACATTTCCTCAAAAAGTGTCTGAATAAATTCATGAACTTTTGATTCCTCAAGTTCAGTAGACTTGGACCTTTCATAAACCCATTTTTATGTTCTTTCCACTGTCAGACAGGAGCACCGGATAAATTAAAAGAAACCCAAACCAAAACACTGTGCTACTTTAGTACACTGAAGCTGTATAATCCAATGTGGTTCTCTATCGATAGGAACTAAATATTTGAAAAATTAATATTTTCGCAAGAGTAAAATATTAGCTCCGCTTTTCTTATTTCCTCAAATACTGGTCAACTCTTAATCCTATCTTCCCTAATTTAGATAACTTTCAGACTTATAGCTTTATATATATACATACACACCTATCACTCTATTATGCAAGGTGTAACAATAGAGTAAGAAATAATAAGTAAAAAGAAATTGAGGCAGAAATTAAAAGGAAATTAAACGAAGTCTAGTTTACACTAATACTATTTACAGTACTAGATCTTTCTATATTTTTCTGATCTTATAAACCATTCTTACTTCTTCCATGATAATACAACCTTCTTAGATATTCTCTATCTCTCAATCTATTCACTCTTCCTTTATATATTTGTTTTGTGATTTAAAACTTATCACAAGATGTTTATTTTCAAATAGTATTCAACCTACATGTATTTGTCTACTATTGATTCTTGTCCCTAAATCCATTCCCACTGCAAACAATTGCCTTTTATGTTTCTTCAGTCATACCAAACTTTCATAGCATTATATGAATCTTTATATGTACTGTAGATATTAGTTCCCAGAATTCTAGAAATGGTTATTATTGGGAATTGAAGTCTGCATTTGTAGAAGCTTAGTCACTGATATGTAGAAGAAAAAGAACTATCTCAAAGAATAATAAGATACAGAAAACGTATGATTGCTAATCATCGCCAAGGCTTTTGTTCTGAAAAGTAGGTTTTTGAGAAACTACTCACATAAATAACAAGTATTTTATCAAATTCAACCTTCTTCAAAGGAGAGCAGACAAATTTCTGCAAAAATACTATTGGGAAATCTTAAATCTGACATATGACAAAGGGAATAAAAATTGAATTCAAGGAACTTACAAATAATTATTTGAAAAACTGCATTAGAAAACAGACATAGGTATTTTGATTTTTATCTAATAAACCATGTTTGTACTGCATTAAAAATACTTTTGAATTGTGAGTGTACGCATAGACTACAGATGGCATGTGAATGTCATCTAGGGATTGGTCAAATAAGAGACATATAGGACAGTGACATATTGACTAAAAATCTGGCTTTAAAGTTGAGGAGAAGGTGAAATACCTGAGGGTTATATTGGCACATACAAATGCAAAATTGTTTCAAAATAGCTATGTGCCTCTTTGGAATGATATCAAAACAGACTTATTGAGATGGGGTAAACTGCAATTACCATTAATGGGTAGAATTTCTGTAATTAAGATGAATGTTTTACCAAAGATGCTCTTTCTATTTCAATACTTCAATACAAACAGATACTCCATTTAAACAATGGCAGATGGATATCTCCAATTTTATATGGCAAGGGGAAAAAACAATAATTAGATACAAATTACTACAAGATGCTAAGGAATTAAGATTTGGATGGCATGGCTATTTATACTATGACACGGTTAAAGTAAATGTTCATTTTAATAACCATTTTGTTAGATGTGCCCTCTTAAGAGTTTGGAATAAATATAAAACAAGGTTTTCTGTGAAGATGCCTCTCTGGATGGCCCACCATTTCCTTTCTAAAAATTTTTTTATACTAAACTATAATTTAAAAGAAAACTTTTATAAGATGATATATCATTGGTATTTAAGGCCAGATAAGTTGTCAAGAATGCATAAAGGTATTTCAAATGATTCCGCTAATGTAGTTTTACAATAAAATAGAATTAGCTCATCTAGTCATGTCTCCTGTCTGGTCTATCTAACCTAGTAAGGTTGACACTTTGTCCTGGAATGCAATTCAAGCAGTTGCAATATCTTCTCTTAAAGGAGAAAATATTCCTTCTAATTGAGTGTTTTGGTATGTTGCAACCTGATTTTTAATATTACAATTAGTTGTTTTATCATTTTATACTCTTATTTTTGATTACCTGATAAAACTCTATGAAAACACTTTCCTTTCCAGTCTTGTCTAATGCTGCTTCTTCTCTTTCCATCTTTCTCCTTTTTATTGATTTAGCTTCTTCTATCAGTTCTTGCCTGTTGCTTTTTTTTCTTTTCTTTTACTTCACTCCGAAATGCTCTTTGCAAATTCTACTAATGAGACATTTTCACTGTGGTAATACAGCTGTCCCACCATAAAGTTATGTTTAGGTATGTATGACAGAAATATGCATGTAGATTTAAGTTTCTTGCACATGCGCAAGTGCATGTGTTTCAGCTGTACTTAAAAATGGTTTAATAAATGAGTAGCCTTCTTGATGACCTCAGCAACTGGTTATCCCCTTTCTCTATAGACCCCAGGAATTATCATTCGGTGGCATCGCAGATTTGTGAAAGACAGTTCTGGGCACCATTTCCATACTATAGACCCAAATTTCTTTTATGAAGCAGAAAGTTGGAGAAAATGTGACCGTTATTTGCTGGGCTATTATAGAACTAATGGACATTTATAATATAGACGTGCTGTTAAAACTTCCCAATTTAAGTCAATAACTATATCCCAAATTAGAGAAAAAAAAAACAGAAAACACAGATTTGTTCTCTTATTTTATGACTGTTAGCATTACATATTAAAATTTGGATGCTGCAGTGGCAGGTCTGCCACATTTTCATTTTTTGTGCCAAGACATAATCATCTGCTTCCTTTTTTTATTCAAAACAAATGGCAGCTAGGAAAACAGTGAAGAGACATTTCTACAATACAGGATTTATCTCTTGCCTTTGTGATTGACATTATTTATTTATCAGGTATTAACTATATAATTCTGTAGATATTATTAAGTGAGCTCTGTTTTATTAAAAAAAGCTAGGATATCTGAAGTTTAAAAACTTTTTTCCCCCAATGCTTCCTCCTTCCATTATGTATTCAGGATGGACAGTGATTAATATTTATATGTTACTTATATGTAAGGGTATAGGTCTATACATATGTTGTATATAGTATATTTAAATGTGTGTTATGTATGTGTACACTTTGAGAGCAAGCAACTAAATTTTCATTTTTAATGTGTGCCATTGTACCCACAGTAAAAAATGACAATAAAGGTTGTCAAATTCTATCTCTAGAATTTCCTCTTTGTACTAAATCATCTAGATTTCTGCATTTATTTACTTGAGACAATTGGTCAAATTCAACAGATCCAATATGCACCTTTAAATATACCAAAATTTGCAAACCAGTTCTAACACAAATAAAAGTCTGCATCTACTTTTTCTTATTTTATCTTGTTTCCTTTTTTCCTCTTTGCTTCTTTTCATTCCCATCTTCAGTTAGCTAAAGATAGAATGAAGGCCACTTAGGACTTTATTATATTAAGACCGCCAGCAAGCAGGATCCAGTACAATGAAACTAAGAGCAGAACTACATATCCTCCATGGCTTATTGTAGTTCCCCATAGTCTTCAAGGGGATCCTAACAATACATCATTAAAACAGTCTAAATGAGAGAGACACAGACCCAATTTTTCTCATTAGATTAAGAGAATAAATGATGATTTGGCCCAGCTATCCAAGAATATGGCCAGAAAGCATTCCTAGTCTGTAGCTATACAGGGATGAAGAGGAGAAAAGTCTAGTTATTTCAGACAATATCAGATTCCAAACTTTTGGTAAAATAGTTGAATGTCAATATTAAAGTGGAGAGAACAACATAGTAGACTGTTAGATACCCTACTACAGCACTAAACAATACAATAGCACTTAGCCTTACATATCGCTTCACAATGCCTTCCAGCCTCCTCTAAGCAGTTTACAATAGAGTTACTGGCATTCAATTTCTATAGAAGAGGGCAATGCCACCCATCAACTAATTTCACTAACAAAATAGGATTGTGATTCTCTATTATGTTAAATAACTTTGAAGGGGAAAGAAAAATTATAACATCGGACTCCCTGTTCCAGCTCATGATGCAAACAATCCATTATGGCAATTGATGCTGTTTCCAATCCAAGTCTTACTATACTTCTAGACTGATACGGGTTTCAAAAAAAAATAAATCTGTTTTCTCCAAGATTCATGCTGTGCAGTGACCTCATTAACTCACCACAAAGTGCAGCTCTGAAACAAACTTACAGTTGTTTAATTCTGTTGGAGCCAATGAGGATTTTCTCTTTCTTAAGCAAGAGTTAGATCACTACTACCTCTTTCAAATCAGTTAACTATCAACAAATCCTCCTTTGGTGGCACGTACATGTTTCTGCTGCCTGCTAATTGAGTTAGCTAGTTCAGTAATGGTTTTATGAGCTCCAAATGGTAAAGGCCAAATACTATCATTGCTACAGCCTAGATCGGGGTCTTCAAACTTGGCCCTTTTATGACCGGGTCTTATTTTCGGGGAAACACGGTAACAGTCCCTGAAGTCCTTGGCTCTGACTTTAGGCTTACAATCTGTAAGTAACTGGTGTTCTCCATGTGTCTGTCGCTGCTATCGCTACTTATTGTAGTTAATGACTATGTTGGGAGAAAAAGGAAAAATGCATGACAGAAGCATTTGGCCTGAAAGCTAAAATTTTAACTGCAGTGACAAATCCCAAATCAATATCTTTCCAGTGACTGCCTTATGGAACATTTTTCTCTTTAAGCTGTGTTCAGAACAGAAAATCAGCAAGGAAACTATTTAATGATGGCAAAACAGAAGGTCTGCATAAGGTCTTTTGGCAAGTTTCTTTCCTTCAGAAAATGAATCTGCTGTCTGCTTTTAAGTGAGCATACAAAGGGGATTTCAACTTTCTTAACCAACTAGGTTAAGAAGGTTGGTTGCTTCTGATGTTTCTCAAGAAGATAAAACTTCATGTTTCTTTGTAATCTTTCTTTTTCTTATTTCTAGTTTCACTATTTACTATTCTTCATTATCTTTTTTTCTCTTATAGTTTTTACTTTGAAAAGCCCTTCTGTAATAAAAATTAAGAAGGAAGGAAGGAAGGAAGGAAGGAAGGAAGGAAGGAAGGAAGGAAGGAAGGAAGGAAGGAAGGAAGGAAGGAAGGAAGGAAAGAAAGAAAGAAGCACACTAAATTAATGCAAAATAATTAATGCAAAATAATAATTTGCTAATTGCACACTGATCATTACTAATTAAGCCATACACATTGTGTTCCCTCTGAAATATCATTTCAGACTGGCTGAGACACAAACCTGGATTTTTCAATCTGTACAACAATGATCTTTTCAAAACTCTGAATGTAAAGGAAACATACACAGCATAGCCTTCATGTACAAATACCTAAGCTCAGCTTAAACTGGGTATACATTCTTTGGTTAAACTAAAACTTCACCTGAATCAGTAACAAGATTCCTTCCTCATATGTCTCTGGATATCTTTCTTTTCACCTTGTAAATTTCACTCGTAGTCCACTTTCCTAATAATCTAGCTGTCTTTAGCCTAACGATCTCCCTCATAAATGTAAATGCTTCACATCTTGCCTATAATCTATTTTATCCTTGAGATTGCTCCAATATGTAAATCAGATCTGATCCTAGATCTCCTACAACCTGTACTCTTTATTTTCTGTGATTAAAACTGGCTTTAAAACAGTTTTGGTTAGTAAATGTGATCTATGCCAATATCTATAGATACCTTGAAATCGTAAGTAGCATCAGGGTTTTCATCACAGGCAATGACCTCGGGTGCCATCCAATACGGTGTTCCAATAAATGTATTTCTTCGACCAACTGTTCTGTCTAGTTGAGCGCTGACTCCAAAATCCACTTTGAATTGAAAACAGGAGAATTTGAATGAGGTAAAAGTTAAAAAAAGTTGGTCTCATTGAAAGGATATAAACTAAAATTCATATAGGATTACCCCCGTGAACAAGGCAATTCATTTCAGAATACTAAGAAATTTCAGCCCCTCTCCTCACCCTATAATCTTCCTCCTGTATCAAATGGATTTGAGGGTCAAATCAAATAGGCCATGTTGTAGACCAAGAATCTTTATGGAGTTCAACAGGTGAAGAAGTCTTTTTAAAAAAAGATGTTGGACATTTGATGAAAACATATGAGACTCTGGAATTCTCATAAGAGATCTTGTGAAATGTTTTCATTGAATATAGCTTTATTATTGTAAAAAAAAAACCAGGAAATTGAGATCAATTTCTCCAACTAAGTCAAACAAGGATAAGGTAATATCACAGTATTTCAACCTCTCAGGATACTATAGCAGATAAAGTCAATGTGACTTTAGAAACGCAGGACTTTAATAGCACCATTGAACAAGACATTATTGAATCCACGTATCAAAAGATTTTGTTCAATTAAAAGTTTTTTAATACATTACAATTGTTAATTTATAAAGTATTTATAATTTGTCTTATTTGTATCTTTCATCTGTATAATCAATCTAGCTTCCCCTCTCTTTTCCTATTTTTCCCTACCTCAACCCAATTTAAATCCTACATCAGACTAGTCACTCTGTGCATCTAATAAAGGGAACTGCAGCTCATAAGCACCTTTAACAAAATTTGTTAGTTGGAAAAGGTCTACCAGATTCCTGATCAAGCTGTCTTGCTGCAAGTCTACAAAAAGAAGCATTTTGATCATTGTAGATCATAAAATAGAGCCACAGGCCAGCAAAGATTTCCAATGCCTATGCTAAAAACTTGAAATGGAGTTATCTAAAACTTCATTCTTAGTTTTAGAAGGTGCATTTTAGTATTTCCTTCCCTGATGGTTATGAATCTATATCAAGACTATATCAAATATCTTTTTCCAATGATTCAATTATGAAAGTAATAAAAAGGCAAATAAAATCTCCATTGTGTTCTACTTCATGGTGTTTTTTTTTGATACCGCTCGAATTTTGAGTCAGATCATATACCATTTCTGGCAAAATACAATAAAGTTTATTTGTTTTTTTAAGTATCAGAGACCTGTGTGTGGAGCTCCTTGAAGAATTCATTGTAGCTCAGCTACAGTAGAATTGCACAAATAATACTGCTGATCTCTTCTAGTTATTTTTGAGACCAACTCTTCTTTAAACATTCTGGCCACATCTCTTCAAGGACCAACTAATGTTTAATGTATAAATCCTTGAATTAGTGTCTTTTACCTATTCAATACCCATCCAAAATTAACATATTTTAAATAGGCTGTGGAGAACTGTAAAAATGCTCAAGAAAATTTGAAGTGACATTGAGAGCAAAAGAGACAGTCGGAAGGGATTATGGTATGCTGATATTCCTAGCCAGAATCTCTTCATTTTTTGTAAGAGCATAAACTTTTCTTATTTTAAGAACATAACAACTTCAAAGAATGAAGGCCATATTATCTAGTATTCTTCACAGCCTTTTGGTGGTAAATTGCTGTATATTCTAGGGTTCATCATGGATACGAATCCTGAATTTTTCTCTCTCTCAAATTTCTCGAGTAGAGTAGGATTGTTATAGAGTCAATGTTCAGGTCTACTTCATAGAAACAAGAGAAATTCTCAGCTTTGGTATTCCTTAGAACAGCAGTCCCCAACCTTTCCAGCTTGACTGCTCAACCTGGTGTGAGGGTGTGTGAGTGGCAGGTGTGTGTGCGCACACAGCTCCAGGTGTGCAAGTGGCGGGCATGCGTGACCTCTACTCACGCAAATGGAGCTTCGCGCGTGGGCTGAGGGTGCTTGCACTCGTGCTCGAAGCTCCACTCATGTGAGCGGCAGGTACTTATGCACTCATGTGCGAAGCTCCACTCACATGTGCAGAAGATGCTTGAGGGGAGGGTGCTTATGCTCATGCTTGCTTGCCACTCACGTGAGTGGAGTTTCACATGTGCACACTTGCCCATCTCGAACCGGCCAAGGCCCGGGGGTTGGGGACCCCTGCCTTAGAAGGTAGGACCAATGAAGATTTTTTAGTTAAGCCTCATTTCATTCTTCCTAGTATTTCCTTTAAATAAAAAGTCACCGTCCCCCAAATCTTACCTAGTTTAACTTCTGCATTTTCAGTTAGCAAAACATTTTGGCCTTTAATATCTCGATGGATTACTTTGTGTTGATGGAGATGACTCAAGCCCTAGAGAAGTCAGTGAGAGACATGATAAATATAAATATATTGTAACTAAAGAGAATGTATTTATTTTGCTTTTGTTTTTTTTTTAATTTTGCTTTTGTTTCCTTGCAGACAGCTGCAATATAAATCCTTCCATTCTCCACCATCCAGTCAGAACTGAAGAAGCTTCTTGGATGAGAAGCGAAACATGTTCAAAGAAAAACAAAAAAGTCCAGTTGCCTCTTGAAAAAGCACCTTTGGGACAACCATGACCTGGATGACTGAGAGTCTCCATAGACAGTTATTTGCAGGAGGTACAAATTAGTGGATCTCAGAATGGCTGTATCAGATTGAATTAAGCAGATCCTAAAAGGGTGAACTCCACCCACTTCTGAATAAAACTGTGCTGGCTTGATCTTCATTTGGATCTATGGCCATTGAGAGGATTCCAGCAGAAAACCTAGCTATAATGTGAACATTTTATGGATTTCCATAAAAGAAATTAAAAAAAAAATAGTATCAGAGAGATTGTAATATGCTATGTGCACATGCCTCACTAAAACCGTTATAGAACTGTTATGTAAATTTATGCGCTTACTCCCCCCCTTCTCATTTAGCCCTTTGCTCTGATGATGTTAACAGGTTGTTAACGAAAGCTCAGCAATTAATAAAAAAAGCCTTTTACCTTACATCCCAGAGTGCTTTATTATTATATATATATATATATATATCACATAGAACATAATAACATTCGGAAATTATCCTGATTCTCACCCTTATTGTAGTAAGAATTCTAAATGGTAGGAAACAAAACAAAACATCATTTCCCAATGTTTTTGTTCCATTTGAGTCCCTCTATATGAAAATATCTTTCTTCATCCCTATTTTGAATGATTTTCCCCATTTCTATAAAGGGATCTGAAACTCTAATTTTAATACATCTGCTCCTATTAATATTAAAGAAGGAGTTTTCCTTCTAAAAAGAAATAGCAGATTTCAAAGACGAGCAAGGAAGAGAGCCAAATAACTTTCATTCATTCATTATACATTGGATTTAAGTGACTATGAATCATTCATTCATACAATCCTCTAATGACTAGCCACCAAGCATTTGGAGCCATCTTTTATCTTGTGACCCTTTTCTAAGCAACTAAATTCAGAACAGAGATTAGGTACAGGCATAACATTAGCTCTTAGCAAATTAATTTATAAGCTCAGGATAAAGCCTTAGAAATGGAAATTTTCCCTTTTCTCATCTCCATCTTCCAACCAGCTCATATTCTACTGCAAAATTTTAATTACTATATAGGTAGTCCTCAACTTACAATCACAACTGAGCCTGGAAATTTGGTCCTAAGTTGTTGTGGTCATAAGGCAAGTTGCCACATGACTGGACTCAGTTTATGGCCATTTTATAATAATTGATAAGCAAATCACACGGTTGTAAGTCAGAATCCAGCTGATCCCACAGGTGTTTTCTGCCATTTCTTGGCAAAAACACTGCAAAATGTAATCACATGACACTGCAACTAGTCATAAATTACAAGCTTGTTGCCAAGTGTCTGAAATGTGATCACATAATCAGAGGGGTGTCATACGACAGTTGTAACATTTTTTCATGCCCGTCACAACTTCAAGCAGTCGTTAAGTGACCAGTCATAAATTGAGGACTACCTGTAATTAAAGAGAGATGCTGAAGCCTTAAAGTAATAAGTTACTCAGCTGAACAATTTTTATACAACAGCATATAAAGACTATCTTAAAATATTGAGAAAATACTGTAAATATACCCTCTCAATTCTATCTAGATATAAAAATAATCAACTTCTAACAGTAATAAATGATAGACAATAGGAACAAGAAGCAGGAAGAATCTCATGGAAAGGGAGAACATTCCAATATTCAATCTTTATTTTTCATGTTTATGTCACTAACTCTCTAGTATCTAGTGTCTGTTTCCATCAAAATTTATACACTTGTTGGCTAGAACCATGATACTATACATGAATTCATATTTATTATTAATCAGGTAGTGATTTTAGTAAAGAAGTATAGGTGTGATAGTAAACCATTCAGCAAGAGAGAGGAACTGAATTCACCTGAAAAAAAAATAAAGAGAGGGAATGTTGGCTTCTGATGTGTAAACTTTTTGGAAGGAACTAACATTATTTCTTTACAGTATTGATGCAATGACATTACAGAGAGATGGTTTGTTCACTTTGGACACATACCCGTAAAATCTCCCTGCAGATATAGGCAATCCACTCCTCCTTCAAAGTGTTCCCTTTTGTGTTCTTGATCAGATCAGTAACAGATCCAGCACCACAGAACTCCATCACCAGCTGGCAAAATAAACAAAAATGCAATTATTATAATTAAAAAGAAAGTGTTTTCTGGGTTGCATTAGTCTAGCAGAATGCATTTAATTGGCAATGGCCCATACTACTAAAAGGAAAAAAAAGTTAAATTTTATATATATATAAACATTTAATTAAACGGCAACTCCTCTACTTGCAATTTCGCCATAGCAGTTTGGAAAGAAAGAAGAAACGAAAGAAACACTTTCTTGAGGAAAGGGCAAATATTATTACTTAAATATTGTTCCAAAATAGTATTCTAATGTCTATGGGTCTGCCACAAAGAAGAGGTGGGTCAACCTATTATCCAAAGCACCTGAAGGCAGAACAAGAAGCAATGGATAGAAACTAAACCTAGAACTAAGGAGAAATTTCCTGACAAGTAGAACAATTAATCAATGGAACGACTTGCCTCCAAAAGTTGTGGGTGCTCCAACACTGGAGGTTTTTAAGAAAAGACTGGACAACCATTTGTATGAAAAGATATAGGATTTCCTGCTTGAGCAGGGGGTTGAACTAGAAGACCTCAAAGGTCCCTTCCAACTCTGTTATTCTGTTATTCTCTCCAACAATTTTACAGCACTTCCCAATGCCATTAGTTTTTTTCCAATAACCACAGAGAAGCAGAGAAGAAATACTCTCAGTTAACAGATCAGGAAATGAAGCTGAAAAATAACAGTGTTTCAGGACACCCAAGGAGCTAATGGCTCAAGATGGGTTGGAAAGCTGATCTTTGAAGCTTTAGAAATTCTATGAAAGCTTCAGAAACCAGTTGGAGTCAAAGCTACTCCCACACTACTGCATACATTTGTGGAAATGAAGGGTAGTTGATTCTCCTTTTAAAATAATAAAACAGAAAGAAAAACTGGAACATCATAAACAAATAAGGAAACTGCATGAAAGACTCTGACTAAAGCCATGATTCAGATTTCATAGTGCGAGGAACTTAAATTAATTTTCATGCAAAGTAATTATTTTTCCATTAAAGCTCTGATGGTAGGTCATATTTGGATGAACACATCCTAGCTTGATAAATCAGTATATACAGAATCTTCACAAACCTGAACAAAGGCACTTTGGTCTTTCTTTTTCATGAAGAGCAACCAAGCTGAGAACCCACAATTAAGGACAGTATGTCTTCTTCTATTACAGAACTATGAACTACAGTTAATTTCCAAACAAGTCAACTTTGCTTGTTGTAAACCCATTAACCACAGTATTTGGTTCAGGTGGAGCACAAAATTATCATTAAACGGTGCCTTCCCAGTTTGTTTCATTTCTCATACTCAGAAACTACAGGAGAGTAAGTATGTTAAACTAAAATATATTTGTCTTCTATTTTTGAAAAGATATCTCCTTTTTTGATATCTTAAGAATCTCTTGCTTCAAAAGACTTTTGACGTTATTCTTCATATTTATATATTGCTATAAATATTATATTCTATATCTTTATATAAATATCTCATATTCATCTTTGCATTCTTAAGTTACACCTGCCTTAAAGTATTATTACAACTTCCTTGAGAAATACCTGTGGTACAGGTAATCCTCAACCCTTTGTTTAGGTGATGTTTGGTCCTTGCACTTACGAGTGTTGCTGCATCCCCACAGTCATGTGATCAAAATTTTGGCACATGGCAAAGGGCATCTATTTTCAACAAAATGCAGTATCCCAGGGTCATGGGATCATCATTTGCAACCTTCCCAGGCAGCCTCTGATAAACAAAATGTGACAAACTGGATTCTGATCACATAACTCCGGGACACTGCAACCATCATAAATATGAGTCAGTTACCAGGCTTCTGAATTTTGATCATATAACTATGGGGATGCTGCAATGGTTGAAAGTGTAAAAAATAGTCATAAGTCATTTTTTCAGTGTTCTTGTAACTTCAAATGGTCAATAAATGAACTGTTGTAAGTTGAGACTACCTGTATCTGATTGACAGCTGCTCTTTGATTGGCAGCCATTGCTTGAGTTGCAGCTGAGTCATCCTAATATGTTAAATGCCTGATCATTGGGAATTAGTAATTCATATAATAGGATTTGGAAATTATAACTTAGCATGTTCAATACTATTCAGTTATGGGGAATTGTTGCAAACCAGTGTAAAATGCACAGCTATTTACAATCAAATAGACCTGAAAATGACCTTGTGTTGACCTCAAGACATTAAACTAGGGTTAGGCAATCAGCTGGCTTTCAGAAGCTTTTAGATTCTGTTGCCATTACTACCAGTTTGATCAGTCAATGATAAAATATCTGGAGAGTTATCGTCAAAACAAATGGAGGGCAATAGATTACATCAACTAGGGACCTGCTCTTTTATTGAACAAACTCATCATCAAATAGCCTAACAACTCCCAAGAGATTATCTGTGTGAATCACAATAAGCAAAGACTTGAGTTTGGAGCATGCCAATATGAAAATAATGAAAAGACAGAGCAAGCATTCATCTTCTTTATTGAGATCCCAAAGCCAGTAAGCAGGCATTTTCATATACAGCGTTCAAAATTAAAATGTGGTGAAAAATGCACTCTATGGCACATGGCATATAAAATAAAAAAGAAAATGTGCTAAACATTAAGCATTCAGTTTGTCCATTAATCTGGAGTAACACATCCATTGTACTGCCACAATATTCAACCAAAGCCATCTGCCCTTATTTCTATCTGCTTAAGCAGGGTAGGCAACCTTGGCTCTTTTATGACTTGTGGATTTCAACTCCCAGAATTCCTGAGCCAGCCAAGCTACCAATTTGGAGACCCCTGTTCTATAATGAAAATAAGCAAAAATATTTTCCTATTTTTTTATTCCTGTTTATTCTTTATTTTTATTAAAGGTATGTATCTGAGGAGCCGTCTCACCCTGATGGGACTAGCCCACCTGACTCGTACCAGCGGAAAGGACCTACTTTGAATCCTGTCTGCCAAAGGATATCACTGTGGGATCCAGGAGAGGAGCCTTTCCTGCCGTATCCCCCACCCTCTGGAATATTCTCACGTTGGGGACGAGATTTTCCCCCACCCATTTGGCCTTCTGGAAGAGTCTGAAAACATGGCTTTGCATCTGGCCTTGGGAGTGGCTGACAGGGTAGGGAAGATCCCTACCCCCAGGTTGCCCATAGTCTTGGTTTTAGTGTTTCTATTTAACTCACCTAATTTTAATGGCCCCATATTACCATTTTTTACTTTTTACTATATCATAAGCTGCCCAGAGTTGCTCCATCAGTGAAGTGGGTGGCATAAAAATTTAATAAATAAAAATAAATAAATGTTAAAATGTGGGTGATCAGAAGATTTGATGTAGTCACAGCACAGTGTCCTCATTTCTTATTTATTCATTTACTCATATATATTAATTATGATTTGGGGGAGGGGGGGTCATTTTTCGGAGCTCTGGAATCTAACCTCCCAATTCCCAGACTCCGATTCTTGTTATCCATAGATCATTACCTCAAGAACACAAGGTCTATCTGCATAACATCTCAGCATATTTTTTCCCTCTGATCTTCCTTAGTGCATATGAACCTAGGAATCTGTTTCAGCTGTGATACCGCATTAAGTGATAAAGATGGGCAACATATACATGTAATAAATAGTTAAATATGGTTTGTTTAGTTGTCACTAAGCAGTTTTAATGATTGTTGCATTGCTGCTGGCTTACTCAAGAAACTATGGTTCAACCAAAAATGGTTACTCAAGAAACTATGGTTCAACGGGATATGGAAATCCGATTTTTATAGCACAGGAGCTCCTAAATTTTTTGTCATCATGCCTCCCTTTACTGAAATCTTAATGCACAATGTCTCCCTTAAAAATCTGAATGGCAAAATGAACACAAATGAACAATGAATACAATACAATGAAACTTTGTGAAAGGTGGGTTTATTCTAACAGTCTAATTAAAAGGATTCTCGCACCTTTCCTGGGTTCTGTCTGCATCTTCCCAAGGGAGAGACACGTCACAGTTTGGGAAACCCTGCCATAACACATAGTGTTATAAATTTGGTCCCATGAATAGTGCTATGAATTTGGTCTACATGAATTTGGTCCCATCCCAACATCAGCTGTCTTTTCCAGCAGCTCCCCCAAATTCCTATTATCCTGACCTTGCTTTGCAACCAGGTCTTCCTTCCTCAGGCTAAACTCCCACTCAAGGAAGCCCATGTGCTCATCTACGATTGGAGTGAGCTAGTTCACTTTCTTCCAGTCTGAACCCTAACCACCTGTATAGAGGTAAGCACTTAGCTGGGTTTGGATCTCTGTAAATAAGGCCTGCGTCATTTACCAGCTCCACATTAGCTATAGCAGCCATTACACAGAAAAGCAAAGAGTATGCATTAGTGCATACAACCCACCAATTTATGCTGGATTTAACCTTGGAGTGTTTCAACAAATCCAAAGGTTAGTTTGAGTTCACATCTTCCTCCGAAAGACAGGCTGAGCAACAGTCTCCTATTCATCAGACCTTCTTGCCAAATCATTGAGAGAAGATCCTCCTAAATATTCTCCTCTCCCCTCTGAACGAATACCTTACTGGTACGTTCTGCATTTCTTTTTCTCTCATTTCCCCCCCTCCCCTCCTACTGGATCATTATAAATCCAGCAGCCTTTCCAAATCTAAATTGTAGTGTTGCCATGGAAGCAATCCATCTTTAGACAGGAAAGCAAGCACCCCTTTCTTCTCCCCGGGGAAGGGCTCTGTCTTCAGCACTCTGTTCCCAGCTCTCACCAGCCTGGAGCTCTCTCTTCTGTCTGAAAATGGCATGAGTCCAGATGGCACAAACCACAGAGGGGCAGAGAAAAAAAGCCAACGCCGCTGTATGAGCAAGGAAGTGTCTTTCTGTTTATTATTTCAATGCCCCCTAGACACCAAGGACAGCTGTACAGTGGTACCTTTGTTTTTGCATTGATACCTCCAGAATGGGATTTGGAAGTCTAAGCCACACAGAGTAGGTTTGCTTATTTTTTCCCTTCATGT